GCTCGAAGTTGGACCTCAGCCGAGGTCAGCTGCTCCCGGGCAGTCTCCTTTTTTGAAGCCAATAGGTCCATTTTGCCCTTCCACTCTTCGGCCATGACCTTAACCTCGTCCATCTTGGCTCGAAGCTGGTCGATCCGATCAAGCTTCTGCTGGACCTGGGGGGTTTGACCGTTAGTCGCAATGCATAACTCGTCGTCACTAACTTCAAAGATCTTTACCTGTTCCACCACGGCGACATGTTCTTTCTGAGCCGCGTCCAGCTCAGCTCGGAGATTCCTGATTTCTCCTTCACGTTGCTCGCTGAGAAGCTTATACATGTCCCTCTTCTCATCAATCTCTTTGACCTCGGCCTCGAGCTGGCTAAGCTCATCCCGGTACTGGAGAAAGGTTTCATGGTGGAGCACCGAGGCCTGCAAAATGTGAAAAAAGGCATTAGAGTCATCAAAAATTAAATTCGAAGATAAAAGAGTGTGATAACACCTTACCCGGTTCAACGCATGTTGTGCTTCATTGAACAAGCATGGCGCATCCAACTCGTTCATTTTTGCCTGATCTTCTTCGGTTATCAGGCACCGGAGGTAGTAGCTACCCCCGAAAGGGGCAGAAAGAACCCAAGTATCCTCCAGGGCGGTGATAACAACTGATCGCTTCTGGCCAGGATCCGTGCTCGGAACGGGGAACCGGTTGATCAACCTTGGGCTCGAGTTCAGCCCACCAACCTCTGAGGATGGAATTTTCCTCGGCACCTCTAAGTCACCCAACTCGAAGAAGTATTCCAGGACGGTTAAGTCTACATCATCAAAGAAGCATCAGAGGGGATCGTCCGCTCCATGAGCCCCTTCATTGGATTGCTCCTTCGTCGCTCGGGCTTCATAGAACATGTGCTCGGTAAACGAGTGCGATCCCGAAATTTCTATAACACTGGGCGAGGCGGAGCCAGCGGCTCGAGAGGTTTCGACTCTCACCTCTGTACCAGCCTCGTGAATTTGAGGGGGATTAGCCCGCGTCGTTTCCCCCTCGGCTACCACCTGTTCCTTAAGAATAGACGGCTCGCATGCCACAAAAAGATCGTCCTCCTCGGGCTCGTCCTTGATCCGAAAGAGTGAATCCGAGTCAGGCACTCGGGATATGGAGCTTTCCATTGGCTTACGAGCCAACATTCTCCTTGGTTTCTTCTTCTTCGAGCTTGGGGAACTCGGGGCCCTCCTCATTTTCTTCTCTCCTGTTGTGGTTCCGGGTTGCCCCGAAGCAAAAGGATCAACGGGCAGGTCCTCGCCCCCTGCCAAGGGCCTAAGCTCAATAGTCTTAGGCAAGCCTACAAAAAAGAAGAGAAGCAAATAGGGCATAATGTTGAAAAAGAAAATCTAGTGTTACTTACTCGGAGAGAGGAATCTTACCGTGAGAACGGGCCTCCCAGCGGCCTTTCGATAGCTCGCGCCACGAGCGTTTGACATAAGGCATCTGCGAACAAATGCCTCTAATCCACTCCGTGAGCCGAGGGATGGCGTTTGGGACTCGAGCGAGGGCTGCACCACAGCAAACACCAATGAGAAAAGGGAAGATAAACCATAAAATCAACGTTTTAAAGGAGTTATACTTACATGATAAATTTCACTTCTCGGGGAACGGCCTCCACTCGTCAGGAATGAGGTCGGCGGTGCTCACCCGGACAAAGTGTCCTTGCCAACCCCGATCCCGGTCCTCGTCGATACTTGAAAATAGGGCTTTGCTGGCCCGACGTACAAGCTTTATCAGTCCCTCTGGAAGATTCGGGGGCTGTACAAGCGGAGTAGATGATCGATGGTAAACGTATATGAGTCGATTTTGTTCACAAATAATCGGAGGAGGATCACGATCCTCCACAACGATGGGTGGATTTGGCCGAGGCATACGTCGTACCTCATGCAAAAGTCCAAGATGACCGGATCTACCGGGCCTAATGTGAAGGGATAAGTGTAAACACTAGGATATCCCTCAACATGGGTAGTGATGTCGTCATCGGGCCCGTGAATCACTACATCCTTATCCGCCCAGCCGCAGTCCTTTTGAACTGCGGGAAGAATGTCCTCAGTAATGGAGCAGATGTACCGTGACACCGCCTCACATAGGCCTTGAACCGAAGAGGGCTTTTAGACCTTGAAGTCATCATTAACCAAACACCCCCTAGGGACGAACATTTTCAAAGAGGGCTCGGCTGCCGATTCCTCAGTGGTAGCGCCCGGAGCAGACCTCTCGAGGACGACCACATCAGGGGCGGTCTCCTCGACCTCAGTGGTCGGCTGCGTAGAAGAATGAGCATCTTTCTGGGGAACGGTCATGGAAGTGTTTGCCATTTTTATTTGGATAAAAAGGTTTGGAGGTATAAAGGAGAATGAGGAGATGGAGGGTGAGAACTTGCTAAGAAAATCAAGTACAAAGGCTTAAGTGAGGGGTAAAAGAAAGGTTGCAATTTGAACAACGAAAGTAAGAATATTGAAGAATGAAGGAAGGCAGTGATATCTTGAAAGATAGAAGGTAGAAGCTTGGTCAAAAGTAAAAAATGGACGAAAGAAGGGGTATTTATAGGGGCTTCGCGTAGTTTCGCATCTAGGAGCGGGCTGCCGACGACTGACACACGTTGGGGGTCATTATGACGTGACTGACGGGATGTTTCAGTTTCTTTGGTGTTTTGTGTCACAACGTGTTGGAGAAGAGATCGAAGAACTCATGTCGTTCCTCGTCATTTCCGTAAAACTCTCTTCGAGAAACGAGGGGACTATCTGTATACGGGTAAAACCGGACCCATGAGACGACCCGATTTCCGATAAAATAAATCGAGTGAAGGACGTGATGGCAATGAGCCAGAATCGAGGTAAGGGACTCATCGAGACAGGTTCCGGGGCACGATGCCCTCCCTCGAGAATATCGGGGCCGTGACCCCGGTATCAGTCCAAATCTTAAAAGACTTCAGGGAACATTATCGAGCAACCGAACATGATTAACAGGAGGCCGTGATATCCGTGACCAGTTAGGTATTGTGGCGTGGATCTCGGCACGTACCGACAGAAATCCGGTAATTAGTTAAAACAGAAGATTCTTTACCTTTTATGGAATTGTACCTAGAGTAGGACTCCCCTACTATATAAAGGGAAGTCTGATTATTCATTGAGAACATTGTAACACGCATACCAAGACAATATACTCTTATTTTTTCTGTTATTCAAAGCTCTTACGTTTGTTGATCAATGTTTCGTTATTATAAGCCCAGGATCGAAGACGGATACCTCATTGAGGCTGCCCTCGAGTTCAGAATCACCCCCCTTATTTTCAAGCGGTTTGATAATCTATAACATTTCTTATGTGTTTATTCTAGCAATCTTTACCATTTGTATTGAATAAATTCACGTATCCTTAAAAAAACCACTTACAAATATAATTGTTATCCATTTTTTAGGATAAGCAAAAGTATTAAAGTTACGTGCAACTTAAATATTAATTGACAAAGAATTGAATAATGGAGTTTATTGTAGTTGTTAGACCACACATGGTGTTTACACCAAACCATACTAATTCAAGACATGTTTTCACAAATATAATTATCACTAAACAATAGTTACTTAATACATCCTTTTACCTTAATTTATTACCTAACAATAGTAAATTAGTATGGTTTCGTATAAACATTCGATGCAACTAATTTTTTACTCTATAAATTATATAATCCTTGATTTCTGAAGATTAAATAATCATTGGACTTAAGTGTAGTTTTATAATCAGACACTAGACCATGAAATCCTTGATTTCTTAAGATAGAAAGACCATATTATCCTTGATCAATCAGGTCCGTAAATTTCATAAATGAACTTTAGAACCGTAGATTGATTTTTTGAACTTCACTCCTGTAAACCCTAGCTAATGCCCGACTGCTTCCTATATAAACCTTACATACTCCTCTCATCCAAAATACCCAGCGGTTCTGAAGAAACCCTAATTCGCAGTGAGCTACCTTTTTCACAGTATGTCCATTTCAATGCATTTTTTATGTGGTTTTTGAATCTAATGCTTGTTCTTTAACTGTGTATATAGCAGAATAACAATGGCGGTTCCTCTACTGAATAAGACGATAATCAAGAAAAGGGTGAAGCAATTTAAGAGACACCAGAGTGATAGGAGAATCACTGTCAAGGTATTATTTTTTCATTTTCTATAACCCCCTTTTTTTATTAAGCTCTATGTGTGTATTATTTGTTCACGAATACTGAAATCTGATGACAAAAGATTGTATTTTAAAGTCTTAATGAAATCTCTACAATTAAATAATCCCTTTTTAGCTCGATCTGAATCTTATTGTTTAGTGATAGGGAAAAAGACTCATTTTTATGTGTTAATCATAAATTTGTTTATCTGTGTTAATTTGTGTTGGAAAGAGAAAATGATGATAGTTTATTGTCGCCCCAGTCTTAAGGTGCATCCAAAATATTGGACTTGCAAGGTGGTGATTGACTTATTATATCTGATTCTTCCTGACGAATAAGGTTAAATTTTTGCTATTGTTTGGTTTTAGCCTTTTTTTTTGAGTTTGATGCTTAGCTTGTTTGTGGAAGATATGCGTATTAAGGTGTGATGATGCTTATCCACCGAACTGTAGAGTTCAATGATGAATTCAAAAACATGCACTACCATCTGATCTTATAGCATATCTCAACCCCCTTTTAAGGTTTTGGGTTTCTGTTTCCTCTCTGTGGTGTTTTATGATTTGGTTCAAGTATTTAAAATTTTAAACTAATCTTGAAATCTCAATTATAGAAGATTGGTTTTTTGAGGCGTAATAAAATCTCTCTGTAGGTATTATTTTGTTACTGTAAAGCTATTTATTTTGCTATATTGTAAGCAACCCTTTTTTAGTTTTAGCTTGATCTGTCTCTTATTGTTCAGTAGTAGCAAAAACGACTCATTTTCGTATGTGTTGACATTAGGATAAAGCTTGATACCTTGTTTATCATGGTTATTTTGTTGGTATCTTTTTTTTTTGAGTCGGAAAGGGAAAATGATGATTGTTATTGTCGCCCCAGTCTGAAGTTGCATCCAAAATATTGGATTTGCAAGGTGGTGATTGTCACATCCTGTCTGATTCATCCTAAACAATAATGTTCGTGTCTTACATTTGTTTTGTTTTGGCCTTTTTCATTTGATTCTAAGCTTGTTTGTGGAAGATATGCATATTAAGGTGTGATGATGCTTATCCACCTAATCTGTAGATTTCAATGATGAATTCTAAAACATGCACTACCATCTGATCTTATAATCATGTCTCTCCTTTAATATTTGCAGTTTTTCCTTTTTCATTTTTGTATTGTTTTGTGGTTTGATTTTAGATTCTGATGCAATCAATGATGAATTATTTCCAAAATTGCTGATTGACTAGTGATTAATGTAAAAATATCACCATCTTTCGGCTGAGATTGCATCTAGAACAATTCTTGCAGTATGTTTTCCCTACGTTTTCCTTCAATTTTACTTTAAATATTTTATTGCCTATGTTATCTAATGTCCATACTTTATTCTGTTGCTGGATGTTTCGTTTTACGGGCAGAAACTAAACTATAGAACAGGTCTTGCGACACAGTTGGCTTCTTTATCAATAAGCTTCCTGTTACTTTAACCCTGCTTACATCTCTATATGTATTATTTTGAGGCGTAAGAAAATCTCATATATGTATTATTTTTCTGTATTGTAAATAACTCTTTTTAGTTTTAGCTTGATCTGACTCTTATTCAGTAATAATGAAAAAACTCATCTTTTATGTGGTCATTAGTATGACCTTGTTCGTTAGGGTTATTTTTGTTGGTATCTTTTTTTTTGTGTTGGAAAGGGAAAATGATGATTGTTATTGTCGCCCCAGTCTTAAGTTGCATCCAAAATATTGGATTTGCAAGGTGGTGATTGACACATCATATCTGATTCTTCCTAAACAATAATGTTAGTATCTTATATTTGTTTGGTTTTAGCTTTTTTCATTTGATTCTAAGCTTGTTTGTAGAAGATATGCATATTAAGGTGTGATGATGCTTATCCACCTAATCTGTAGAGTTCAATGATGAATTTGTTTGGTTTTAGCTTTTTTCATTTGATTCTAAGCTTGTTTGTAGAAGATATGCATATTAAGGTGTGATGATGCTTATCCACCTAATCTGTAGAGTTCAATGATGAATTCTAAAACATGCACTACCATCTGATCTTATAATCATATTTCTCCTTTAAGGTTTGCAGTTTTTCCTTTTTCATCTCTGTATTGTTTTGTGGTTTGCTTTAAGTTCTTAAAGTGTTCCTTAGATGCTGATGCAGTCAAGGATGAATTATTCCAAAATTGCTAATTCACCAGTGATTAGTATAAAAGAATCACCATCTTTCGGCTGAGATTGCATCTAGAACAATTCTTACAGTATTTTTTCATTCCTTTTTCAAGTTTTCCTTCAATTTTCCTTTGAATGATTTCTAGCCTATGGTATCTAATGTCCAGACTTTGCTCTGTTGCTGGATGTTTCGTTTTACGGGCAGAAACTAAACAATAGGACAGGTCTTGCGACACAGTTGGCTTCCTTATCAATAAGCTTTCTGTTACTTTAAGCCTGCTTACATCTCTATAAGTATTATTTTGAGGTGTAATAAAATCTCTGTATTTATTATTTTGTTACTGTAAATCTATTTGTTTTACTGTATTGTGAACAAACCTTTTTAGTTTTAGCTTGATCCGACTCTTATTATTCAGTAATAGTGAAAAAGACTAATTTTCTTATGTGTTGACATTAGTATAAAGCTTGTTTACCTTGTGTTGGAAAGGGAAAATGATGATTGTTATTGTCGCCCCAGTCTTAATTTGCATCCAAAATATTGGATTTGCAAGATGGTGATTGACACATCATATCTGATTCTTCCTAAACAATAGTGTTAAAGGTCTTGCATTTTTTTGGTTTTAGCTTTTTTTATTTCATTCTAAGCTTGTTTGTGGAAGATATGCATATTAAGGTGTGATGATGCTTATCCACCTTATCTGTAGAGTTCAATGATGAATTCTAAATCATGCACTACCATCTGATCTTATAATCATATCTCTCCTCTAAGGTTTGCAGTTGTTCCTTTTTCCTCTTTATAGTGTTTTGTGGTTTGGTTTAAGTTCTTAAAGTGTTTCCTAGATGCTGATGCAGTCAATGATGATTTATTTCCAAAATTCCTGATTGAACAGTGATTAGTATAAAAATATCACCATCTTTCGGCTGAGATTGCATCTAGAACAATTTCTTGCAGTTTTTTTTGTTTCGTTTTACAAGTTTTCTTTTAAATAATTTCCTGCCTATGGTATCTAATGTCCAGACTTTATTCTGTTGATGGATGTTTCGTTTTACGGGCAGAAACTAAACTATAGAACAGGTCTTGCGACACAGTTGGCTTCTTTATCAATAAGCTTCCTGTTACTTTAACCCTGCTTACATCTCTTTCATTAAAAAGGCATGCGTACTCATTTAGTGCTCTATTTTATGAACCCTTTTCATCTTGAATTAAAGTTGACCCTGCAAAGTTAGTTGTATTCAACACTTTGCTTGACTCAACAAATTAGTACTAATTTTGCACTTTGTTAGACACTTGAAGTATGCACTTTGTTTCACTTGCTTTAGCTCAAGTTACTTGTGCAAGGGTTACTAATTGAAAATGATTCTTCATTGTAATTTTAACAGACAAATTGGCGCAGACCAAAGGGTATTGACTCCAGAGTCAGGAGAAAGTTCAAGGGATGTGTCTTGATGCCCAACATTGGCTATGGGTCAGATAAGAAGACTCGTCATTATCTTCCTAATGGCTTTAAGAAGTTTGTTGTGCACAATGCAAGTGAACTTGATATTTTGTTGATGCACAATAGGTAGGCAATTTTTTTCCCTTGCACTTAGTTTACATGGTGGTCTCAATCTCAACTGATTGCTCTTTCTTCACAGGACTTACTGTGCAGAGATTGCACATAATGTATCCACCAGGAAGAGGAAGGAGATTGTCGAGCGAGCAGCCCAACTAGATGTTGTATTAACTAACAAGCTTGCTAGGTTGCGCAGTCAGGAAGATGAATGAGTTCCTGGTTTTAGTTAGTATTGTCAACAGATGTTTGTTGTGCAATCAGATGATTTTGGAAATGTTGCTAAGTTTTGATGGACCATGTAATTTTGTTTGGCGTTTGTCATACCTTGAGATAATATACAGGGAATTATGTGTTTCCATATTCTTTTTCAAAATGATAAAGTTACTCGATGGTTATGAGTAGTGGCAGGTTTGTTGATACGTACATACTCCTCGGGGAAATGTTGATGCTGTAGTATCTAACAAGCTTACAGAGAAGCAATTTCGATGTCCCTACTTGGTGCTGAATTCATGTTCACTTGAAGTAGTTTCTGTCATTTGCAGCGCATGAATCATGTTCAGCTTCATAGTTAAAGTTATATTCATTCTCCTTCACCTTTCTCTCCAAACTAATGCCTTTTTGGTCCAAATCTTCGGCTTTCAAGTATCAGGGTTTATATTTTGAGCTGTGTGTGTTTAAATTGGATACTTAGAATTGTGAAATGGTGATGAATGTATTAGACTAAGGTACATGGACTAAATTATATATTTAAGAAAAGGTTTAGTATGGATGTAAATTGCGACCACGGAAACTTGGATAAACAATGTAATTACCTCTGCATAGTCAATCTATTCAAATTGAGACAAGCAATTTGGATAAACAATACGAACCCTCTGCATAGTCAATCTATTCAAATTGAGAATTGCGAAAGAATTTAAACTATATATTTAAGAAAAGGTTTTGTAAGGATGTAAACTGCGACCATGGAAACTTGGACAAACAATGTAAGTACCTCTGCATAGTCAATCTATTCAAATTGAGACAAGCAAAAGAATTATACTTTATCCACTTGTTTTTCAAGAGAATTTGAATGAGATGCTGCTCCCCAAATTTCCGACAGATTTATCTTACTTTTTGTAATTAAACACTATTAACTAAAAACACTAGTTTAACAAGTGCTTTGACTAGTAAGAACCTTATCGTGTTGTAGCTATTATTCGGATACCCCTAAAAATTGTTCTTGGTTTCCTCTATAATCAATTTGGATAGGATCATAATTTGAGACATTTCAACATCTCTTGGTTTCCTCTATAATCAATTTGGATAGGATCATAATTTGAGACATTTCAACATCTCCACCTTGACCACTTAACCAATGCTCTAGAGGTACTGAAATCGACCTCTTTTGAAGCTGATTGTGAAATATTTTTAAGAATTATTTACACAATTACACTTGGTCAAACATATAACCTTATTGTGTTGTTGTTCGGGCTCTTATTGCCCTTTTCTTGGGTCGCCGGATGAAAGGGATTCATTGTTCACTGGACATTCAATATGGAATGCGCTCATGGATAAATAAATACCTGAGATTGATGGGAAACCAGGAGCGTTTCAAGCTTCAGCAGTAGCAACATGAAAGATCACGAAGACAACATCAGCTATGCAATGCTGATGGCTCAAGGCCCTTGTTTCAATCCTAAGCAAATAACAGTTCCAAGGCCCTTGTTTCCTGCTGAGGCAGGAAACGAACAGCTATCTTCTCCAAAACTTGAAATTAAACCTCTCACGAGCGTACATAAAGTATTTCCTGTTCGCAAAGCAGGGACATTATTAGCATGTTCTATATTTAACTAACGAGTTATCTCCCAAAAAAAGAAACAAGATTTTTATGACTAAAGCTCCAATGACAAGATGTATCTCTCTACCTGATCGCTGTTGGAAAATTTGTCGATGACATCCTACTAGGCAAATAGGGCACCAGGTACCTCAAGCTTGGCATGATAGGGCACCAGGTACCTCACGCTTTAATTGTGTGCAGCAGCTGGCTTGACTTTAGGTACAACCGGTCAATCATAGGACAGTTTTAAGACATGGCTCCCAATTCAGCATCTAGACATTTGAAGCAGTGCATGCTAATGTCTGATCTCTATATTGGTAACGTTACCCGAAAGAATGTTACCTATCGTGCATGCTAATTTTGATCTTTACTTTGGTGAGGGCCATCAAAACTCTTGCAGTTCCCTTAAATCTAAATGTATTGCTGCTTCTGGTGAACAGATTACAAGGCTCCACTAACCTTCCCACAATGATAATCAAAAGGATAATGCTACCAGTAATCTGAACAAGAACAGAAACCGTCCCTGAAGTGATGAAAGCGGCTAGAATCTCTTACAATGATTTCACGTTCAACAATTTTTGCTATGAGCTTGATGGCAGAATGGCAGTCCCCACAGACACGCAGGTTCTTCATTACTGTTATAGTACTACCATGTACAGTCGTAATTAATGCAAAGCAAATAGCAAGTCTCTCACTATGATACGAGAGTAGAACTTCCTTCTGTTCATCCTCTACGTCATGCAGTGCACATCTTTGATCAGGGATATAACCATATTCTTTCAACTTTTCCGTCAACCATTCCAGCTTTTCATATATCTTATTACTTAAAGGATGTGAAGTATCACCAGAAAGAAATGTATGCCTCATTCCCTTTTGATTAACCCAACTGCATCCTGGTTGTTTTATATTTCCTCCTCTTTTCATGTTTCCTCTAATTCTGGCAACATCACTCCATCTACCAGAAAAAGCATAAATGTTAGATAATAAAACATAAGCAGCGCTACAATTTGGGTCAAGGTGAAAAATATTATCTGCAGCTCTTTCGGCTAGTTCTAAGTTTGAATGCTTCTTGCAACCACTAAGCAAAGCTAGCCATATTGATAAATTTGGTCCCATGGGCATACTTTTCACCAAATTCTCTGCCTCTTTTAACTTCCCACTTCTGCAAAGGATATCTACCATACAACTATAATGCTCAAGTGTCACCTCGACAGGTGAAATTTGGGAGATATACTGAAATAAGCGTCTTCCTTTCTCTAGCATGCCAGAATGGCTACAAGCAGCAAGTAACCCAGTAAATGTTATATCATCCATATCAACCTTTGAACGTATCATCTGGGCAAACAATGTGAGTGCCCAATTTCCACATCCATGTTGTGCACATCCAACAATGATCGAGTTCCATGAAACAATGTTCTTTTTAGGAATCTCCTTGAATACAATGAGTCCATCGTTTACATTTCCACATTTTGAATACAATACAACTAACGAATTACCAACAAAGGCATCAGTGTTCAATCCGAGTTTGACTGCTACACCATGAATCTCTCTGCCAAGATCAATAGACTCCATTTCACAGGAGGAATTTAGGGCACTAGTGAAGGAAGACTGATTGGGAAGTAGACCAATTCTAATCATATCCCCGAACACTTTCAATGCTTCTTTGTGCTTACAATTCAAGCCATACCCTGTCAAAAGAGATGTCCATACAACAACGTTAATGTGCAATCTCTCACTGAATACCTTAGAAGAATCATCCACGTGCATGCAATTAGCATATAATGTTATCAGTGAAGCAGTGACATAAGTATCATACAGATAACCAACCTTTACAACACAGGCATGAATTTCACTACCTAGACCTAAATCCCTTGCACTAGCACAAGCTGTGACAACAGAAGCAAAGGTACTAGAAGTGGGCTCAACACCAAAATCTAGCATCTTCTTAAAAATCAATAGAGCCTCATCACTCCTCCCATGCTGATCGAGCCCACTAATAACTGACGTCCAAGAAATCACATTCTTATAGGTCATCAGCTCAAACAATTTGACAGCGTCCTCCACTCTTCCATTCTCAAAATACCCATAAATCATAGCATTCCATGCAGCCATATCCCTTTTTGGCATCTCTCTAAACAAGCTCTCAGCCTCTTCAACCTTTCCAAACTTCAAAAACCCGTTTATCATCGTCGTGTAAGAAATGACATTTCTTTGTGTCATTTCCTCAAAAAATTTCAAACCCATCTCCATATCCCCACAATCTACACACCCTTTAATCATCAAGTTCCACATAACCGTATCTTTTACAGGCATTTTATCAAACAGCTTCAGTGCCTCACTCAACCTTAGATTCTCGGCATACCCAGCTATCATTTTGGTGCATAAATAGATATTTGGAGATGGGATTCTTTCGAAAAGCTCTTTAGCTTCATCAATTCGTCGGCTCTTTAAGTGCTCAGATAGAATAGAATAGCAAGTGGGGCTAGCTACTCTGAAGAATCTTGCTAAACCAATTAGAGATCTTGATGGAACTGAGATGGTGTATGATTTGGGTGCTTGAGATAATAGCAATATGAAGAAGGACATGGTTAGGCATGAGAAGAAGCCTGCAGCGGGAAAAGTTCACCACATGGGGATTCAACGGTATTTTAACGACTTCAACGGTCGCCTAAGGGAAGATAAGAAAAAAACTTGGGCTAAATTACACTAAACACTTCTATACTAAAATAGCCCCTAAATTATTAAGCAGTTTTGATCTTTAAGTAGAGACGGGAGGTAAGAATGAGGCGTTTCAGTTCAATCTTGTTCTTCGAAAAATTATACCGTACAAATATGGAAAAAATAAGGCCAAATATAACTTCACTCCATTTTTTTCATTTTTACACTCTATCTCAAACTTGTTTCATTTTGGCTCTCCAACTCTATTTCTTATGTTTTATTTTAACACGAAAGCTACTAGTCACATAGTGTGAATTGGCTCACATGGTAAGCGCGTGAGGCAGATTGTTTATGGCAAAATTCCTTCTCCAACAGTAATAAAATAATTATTGGCCCCATTTTTAATCCCCAACTTCCTTCCCCATATTTCATCTTCATTATTTCCTTCCTCATTTACTATTTATATAAAAACCGACCGATTTAAGTCGGTTTCTTAAAAAATAAATTTTGCGGGACACTAAAAGAGTTTCCTGCATTTTTGCGCAAAACAAAACGACCTCGTAAAAAAAATTAAAAAATAAAATATTTTGAAATAAATTTTATATTTTGTGAAACGTGTGTGTATGAATATCCTGAAATACCTCATAAACTTTCGAAACCGCGAACTTTCGAACCCGTAAACTTTATAATTTCTAAACCCGTAAACTTCCAAACACATAAAGCTCCGGACTCATAATTTTGGAACTTGTAAAATTTCGAACCTCTAAATCGAAAATGAAAAAAACTAAAACTGAAAATATATAAAAAAATATTTTTTTCCCCGGGGAGAGGGTGCAGAAAAATGAAAAAAAAAAACAAAAATTTGAAATAACAAAAAAAAAAACTAAAAAAATATTTTTTTTAGGGGGGGAGGGGTGGATTAATCCCAACTGACAAGGATAAAAAAACAGGTGTCCAAATCTAATTGGATGGTTGTTACACATTATAAGCAAGTATGTATACACACTGCATTTTTATGTCGGATAAAAGTTTTTGTGTTAAAATGAAACATAAGAAATAGAGGTGGATGGCCAAAATGGGACAAGGTTGAGATAGAGTGCCAAAATTAAAAATGGAGCCAAGTTCAATGGGTTGTCTATGTATTTGGCCCAAAAATAAATTATTTTAGTTATATATAAATTATTGAATCCTCTAATATAAGGAAAAATTTTGATGTAGCAGTAAAGGAGTTCAAAATTTAAATCTAACGGTAAGAGTTTGTTAAATATTTGATGCAGAACAAGTGCTAATTTTTGATAAACTTAAAGGACCAAAATTGTTTAGAAGTATATTTAATGGACTATTTTAGACTCATTCCCAAATATAAGGGACTATTTGTGTCATTTTCTCACCAAATATGAACATCTAAAGTTAAATTGACAAAACAAATGGTACAAATTATTTCCCACTAGTCCATTTCAATGGCATCAGTAGTTTTCCTCTAGTTTGCCATGTTACACGCACTTCCACTTTTTCCTTGCTAGCTAAAAACCATCTCTAAAAAAATTTTGTGATTACAAATTTCATACCCTGTTTAAAGAAATATATTAAGGTTTTAGAAATTTAACATAGCTCATTTTGTGGTTCAAACATAGTTATATAAAATTTTTATGTTCTTTCTGTTGAAAATGTATAAACCAATTGTCTACACAAAAACAAGAACTACTCATGCTAAAATGGTACATCCAATCTATACTTCTGAAATAAGTTCTATTGGCAAGGAATATGACTTTAACTTCCTCTTTGAAAGAACTAGATACCCAAATATGAAATCCTAAATCAAAGAATGTTCCTTTTGAAATCAAAGAATGTACCACCTCAAAAGGAATACTTGAAAAAATTTAGCTAAGAAAGAATCTTGGTTTTTGCTTCCTTGCCTTGATTATGAAGCATTGCCTTTACAACCCCACAAAGCCCTTTAGAACAAACAGCCTTACAAGAAAAGAACCAAAACCTTCTTAGATTAAAGCATTTATAAGAGCCCCAAGAACTTACAGAAATCACATGCATTTGTACAAAATAATCTTCTTAGCCTAAAATCTTACCAAGACTTTATTTCCCATATCATTAAAAAAAGGTGTCAGCTCTTTATCATACCATTTTCAAGAACCAAGAATGGCTGGTGGGCAATTGAAACCTGTTGCATCTTTGCTTTTGGTCCTTAATTTCTGCATGTATGCTGTTGTTTTAGGGATTGCTGGTTGGGCCATGAACTTTGCCATTGATCATGGTTTCATCATTGGTAAGAACCTTGTTAATACTCGTAGTTTCACTTGGTTTGTGTTTCTTTTTAATAATGTTGTTCGGGTTAGCTTGCTCGAACATCGACTATTCACAGGACACCTATTACATACCTCCCACCAGCATAGATTTCGAGTAACTTTATCCACCAAGACATAGACAGATGAAAAGAAATCATTTAACGTGTTTCTTTTTTTTTTTGGGTCTATGTTGGGATTCTGACCTGATCCTCCATTTTTATTTATTTATAACGTTCCATCATATTGATGGAGGAGTTAGGCATGACCGTTAGGCCTCCATAAGTTTCACTCATTTCATTGACCGTTAGGCCACACTGATTGTGCATCTCTTTACTAAATATAGTCTCTTCTGTTAAGACTGATCATGGTGTGTGTGATTTTCTTACAGGTGCAGGATTTGATCTTCCAGCACATTTCTCTCCAATTTACTTCCCAATGGGGAATTCTGCCACTGGATTCTTTGTTGTATTTGCTTTGATTGCAGGTGTGGTCGGAATTGCATCTCTTCTCTCTGGGCTCAACCATATTCGCCAGTGGAACATCGACAGCTTACCAGCTGCTACTTCTGCTGCAGCCATTGCCTGGAGTCTTACACTCCTTGCCATGGGGTAAGTGTATAGTCTTTCACATTCTTGCTCACTAGCATAGTTTTCTTCTCAATGTTTGAGTTCTTTGTATTTACTGTTCTAAATATGTATCACTAATGAAACTGTCACCCATGCAGCTTTGCATGGAAAGAAGTTCAACTCAACGACAGGAATGCCAAATTGGTGAGGAACTCAATTAATTTCCTAACAGAACCTATAAACTGTATACAAAGTTAATCTTTGCAAACTAAGAAAAATAGTGTCATTAACCTCTTTCATGTTTTCTTTATATCAATTTGCAGAGAACAATGGAAGCATTCTTAATAATTCTATCGTTTACTCAATTGGTATACATCACTGTCATTCATGGTGCTTCAACAAGTAGATAAATGAACTTGTAGAGAAGGAGTCATATCGTGTGGAATGTGTTGAACTGTTGATTGAGATTGCTGCTGCTTCTTTTCTTTTTTTTTTTCCTGTTTTTGTAAGGGTTCTTTGTTTGATTTGCCAATTTCTTTGTTTCATTTTATTCTTGTGTACAAAGTTGGCCAGAGCATGGCTGTTTATTGGAATTGTAAGAAGCAAATAAGTGATGCACAAATACTACTCTACGTTGGTTTTTTCAAAATTTGACATTAGCAAAAAAAGCAACATATATTTACATATCTCCTGAAAATAGCACGGGCTAATCAGTTTTCGGACTGGTAATTGAAAAATAGCCAGCGTTTGCAAAATCATTGAAAAATAGCCACTATTTTGCTGCAACACAGAAAGTTTCAGTATAATATACTGGAGATTGGTGCAACTGTGAATGAACTTCTAGCATATTATGCTGGAACTCCAGCACACGGAAAATTCTAGCATAATATACTGGAGATTGGAGCACCTGTGTATGAACTTCCAGCATATTATGCTTGAACATATACTGGAACTCCATCATAATATACTGGAGTTCCAGCATAATATACTAGAGTTGAAGTTCACATGTAAGAAATTCGAACTCCAGTATATTATGCTGGAATATTTTCCGGATTTTGAATAGTGTTTTCGTTCAGATTTATCTTTACATGAAAAGTGACTAAATTTCGATTACTTTTGAAATTATAGCTATTTTTCAATTACCACTTATAAATCTGGCTATTTTTGAATTTCTCCCCAATTGTGAAGGCTCGACAAGGATTACCTACTGCTATCAAAGTAACATTAGAAAGGAAAACAAATCAGCTAGAACTTGCTCATACGCGAAGGTATTATAAACTTCAAAACAGAAGTCCAAACCGAACCTTAAATCTGAACTAGCAGATACCATTCAAAGCATAGTTATTGTGGCACCTAAACTCCATAGTATAACTCAAATCTAATCAAAAGATTGTGTAGCATGTAAGGACTGTCTGCATAAGTATTCTGGACTGCAAACAACTAACATAGATATTCACAATCCGTAGAACCAGACTAAAATATATTCTTTGGCAGCAAGGAGAAAGTAAGGTTAGGACCACTAGATTAGTAAACAGAAAAATAACCATCATTGATGTCAAGCTTAGTGAAGAAAAGTAAAAGGAGCGACTACTAATAACAAATTTCGAAGCCTATGTCCAAGCCCCAAGGTATTATAGTATATGGTGGTGAAAATTTGATGAACAACAATTCCAAGTTTCCTATGCAACAGAAAAACATAAAACGGGTCTTCCAACTGCCGAGGAGCAGATACATCAAACCAATAGACCATACAAGAAAATAAGCTACCATTGCAAAATAACAGGACAGTAGCTAAGAGACGAGGAGTTCTAAGCTGCTTTCAAACTAAACTAGGACTACTGAACATATAAGTTTCTATAAAGACCCTAGCATAACACTGTTCAAGAACATGAAGGAGATCATTTAACTTCTAGAATTCCAAATGCTGCTACTCCATTCCATTCAATCAGCTTCATGCTTCTGCATTGTAAAAAAAAAGGCATTTAATCAAAACAAGAGGATCACGAATAACAATGCTAAACTAAGAGATCTAGATCTCAATTGCCAGATACAGTAAAGGGTGTAAACTCAATGATACGTACATCTAACAGGTCTTATAATATGAGTGGAAAAAGACATGCACACAAATAGAAACATAAAATAAAAATCAAACTTATGAAAGGAGTTTAGTTTGTTACAGAACTTTGAATGTCCAGGAAGCTTCCCAGAAAATCCAAACTCCGGTACTCCACTTAACTGCCAAATCATTGACAACAGCCACACATGCGCAAATTATTTCAACAAGACATGTGGAGATAAAATCTCTTCTTGTATCTAAATCAAATTCATCACATCTTGCTCAAACAAAAAAAGACTTTCACAAAGGATGTCATTAGCACATGTGTATTTCTGAGTCCAATTCTCATGATCCTCAAATTTATTTTACATACAACTCTGCAGATTAATAGCTTTTTGTCTCCCCATGCAAAAGAGAAGCTGGATATCCTACTACTTCACATTACTTCCTTGTCTCAGCTAATAATAGCAGTTCATAACCTTCTGCGATGGAGAAGGTGGTTGCTGCATAAAGGCCTCAATATATGCTGCTCTTTCCACTCATACATCTCTAGCTTCCCCATGACATCTATAGCCTTTTTGGCCAAGCTTCTCCAGTTTGCTTTTTTTTTTTTTCAAAGTTGATGTGTTTGGCCAAGCTTTTGGAAGAAAAACAAAAGTGCTTTTGAGGAGAAGCAAAAGCAGTTTTGGAGAATCAGAAAAAAGTAGCTTCTCTCCAAAAGCACTTTTGAGAAAAATACACTTAGAAGCAGTTTTTAAAAGCTTGGCCAAACACTAATTGCTGCTCTTAAGTACTTTTCAAATTAATTAGCCAAACACAAACTGCTTCTCACCAAAAGTACTTTTGAGAAAAGCACTTTTGAAAAAACACTTCTCAAAATAAGATGATTTTTGCAGCTTGGCCAAACAAGCTACTAAATCCCTATTGAATTTCATCAGGAGTACATGCTTGATCTTTTGCACCATTACCAGAATATTTAATGGCCCAAAATCTGAAGAGCTAATGGCATGATATGTGAAAAGTTCGAAGTTCTTGATGCATTCTGCCTAATATCTTAAATAACTTGAGTCTATAATCTTAATAGCTTGTTAATGAATTACATTAAGTTATTTGTAGGACGGTTGTGTCCATGCAAGCTTGCACACATCTCAACTCTCCACCGGGTACCTGCTATTTTCCCACAAGCAAAATAACCATATTACACTGCCCATCAAAGCTTAGGTAGATGGGAAGAAATCACATAGTATTTTTTTTGTTTTTTGCCTCGCTGAGATTTGAACTTGGGACCTCATGATTTTTCTCTTACTTAATTGACCACTAGGCCACACCCTTGGGTGCTGAATTTCATTAAGTTAATTAATTACATTAAGCTTTTCCCCACATTGACTACCCTTGCTCGTGAGCTTTATAACTATCACTATTTTCTAAACCAACTTAGGTATTCCATTTCACAAACTTTATGACTTCATAATTCACCATAGTACTCCTTCAAGCAATCTCTTTGACAACATTTCATGTCAACCATGAATTTCACCCCATTTGTGCCCAAAATTCAAACATTTGAACTTAGCAAGATGTGGAACGTCTAAGATTTCATTGAGAGAGACATTAGTCAATTGTTCTAATGAATGACAGGGTATCTTAACCTACTAACCTATTCAGCGAAGCCCATAACAAATCAAACCCTACTAAGATACACAACGACAACACCTTCTCAATGCCAAACTAGCTGGAATCAGCTATATGAATTCCCACTATCCATTTTCCTCCGTGTCGAACCATTTCATTCCAATATATAATAACTTGGGTTCTTTAACACTAGCTATTCTCTACAATTTATAGCAAGTCGTGTATGTCTGGTTGATCAACCCATGAAGAGAACATGACAATCTCCCACAACATGGCCTATTCTAAAACTGACACATTTTAAAAGGATACATGACAAAAAATACGTTATTAGTTTATTTAAACTAGTAACCAGATTCAGTGTGAATATAGAAGTCAAACCATTTGCAATCTAATACATATCCTATGATAAAACAAATCAAACCCATGAGTTCAACATTTACTTTGAGTCCTATAGATGGTATAGGTGACAGGAGAAAGGACAACCACCAACACTTTTGAAGAAAGACTGAAAGAGATGTGTCTGCTGCACCAAAGCTTGAAGAAAACAATCCAAAATGAAAACACAGTAGATCAACCTTGACTTTCTGTTTAGCATGATATAATTTGGACGCAAATACTAATAGAAAATAGCTTCATTTGATGATCACTTAAAAGACAAGATTGCATAATAGGACACCATCAATGAGGTGGAATTCAAGTTGACATAATGTGTTTGGAGCAGTTGCAGAACAGTTAAATCATTGAGTTTAGGAAGTACAAAGGGTTGCACTTAATTTTTAAGAGAAAGTGATTGCATAACAGCTGTGGATTAACATTTCAGGAGCTGTCGCTAATCTGCACAATCTCTTCCTTTTTAATAATATTTTCTTCTTGTAGTTAACCTCAGAGCAGTCAATCAAACCGACAAAGAAAAGAACCAATTTTCAGACCAATAAGCACTTAAAAACTGTATCAACAGAATTAAAGTCAAGCATAAAGGACATCAAGTAAACCAAAAAGGACCAAAAGATACACCCAACTAATAAAAGTTAAAACATTTTGTTCTTAATGCAAATGTATGACGGGTAAATAATTATTGGTTGCAAAAAATAATATAAACAAAGTCTGGTATCTCACATTGCTTTATCTATTTGATCCTGCAAACAACTCAAACAAGCCACAGCAACCCTTCCAGCAAGTTGTTTGCACTGGTCGTGAAGGCAGCGCCACCTTTAACTGTAAACAGAAATACAAAAAGGTTAAGAGCACTCTACACTAAATGATTCGCACAACTAAGAGAAAGATAGCTAACCTGATGGTCATGGGATTCATTAGCTGAAGATTCTTTCACATTATCTGCACAAACACCAACATCAATTCTAGGAGCATTATGGGGCGGCTCTACTTTGTCTTCATTTTCTACGGTTGCAGAAGCCTTTGTATCTGTATTTTCTACAGCATTACCATTTGATACTGCACTAGCTGCTTCATCTCTTTTCTCTAAACTCGTCTCCACCAGCACTTCTGAAACAATAGTTTTGTCAACTACAACATCCAAATTTTCTTCCCAATTTTCCATAACAGTATCTAAAGCTGTATCTTTCTCATCCACAACATACAGATTCTCTTCCCCTTTTTCCTTCACCACCGGTTCAACAGTTGATCCGGTCACATTATCAGCATCTGACGCACTTGTTGTCACTTGAACTACGTCTTCTGATATTGCAGCCTTATCCAAGTTAGAAGCAGAAGTCGTTCCCTCAATACTAGCAGTAACTTGTGTATCATGCAAAGAATCACTTTCTTTCACCAATTCAACAACTGAAGCATTATCAACAACAATGTTATTCTTATCAGCAACAGCATATTTTTCAACTGAGCTGCTACTACTACTGCTGCTGCTACTAGAACTCCTTCGCAACCCTTCTCTGTTGGACTCAATCATGGGTTCAACATACTCAACATTTATCTTCTGGCTGTCAGATTCGCCCTCAATCTTCAATTCCCTTTCAACCTGCACAACATCTCCATCCTCTTTTCCAACTATCTCCACTTCCTTGCCTTCATCTTTCACTCCATTGGATTTGTTCTCGTCAATTGAACGATCATGTGAAACATCCAATTGCTTCTCCCCATTTTCTACCTCCATTTCAGTGAACTGGTTTTGGTGATTCTTGTGATCTTGTGAAGCAGGGGAACCACCCTCACTATCACTCTCTTTATCCTCATATTTCAAATCCTCCTCTCCTGTCATAGATCCATCCATAGATATTCAATACCAAATGAAGAAAAATGTCACAAGTTAGCAATTCCCCCATCAGCTTTTATAATCCACAAATCAAAATTAACAACTAAAAAGTAAGCAATAATGAAAGTAACATGGGTTGGTGGGTCATGAATGCTCCCACCAATACACTTTATGAAGCAAACAAACATAATATACAATCATCATCTATATACACACAACAAGAAAACACCAATAACCAACTAGAATTCCACCAAGAAATATATGGATATGGATAAAATAAAGCAGAACCAGAAAGCCAAATTGAGAGACAGATCACAAGCTGTAAAGTTGTTGAAGATAGGGGGGGGGGGGAACCCACATGGGTATGTCCAAGATAAATTAACAAAGCATAAAAATTATTTCTTTTTAGAAAATCAAACAAACAAGAAAAACCAAAACATAGCAGAAAGCCTAGTACTCATTACAGAGTGTGGAAGTACCATGAGAATTAGCAAGAACAGAGTGATTAGGGGGCTCTTTAGCTTGCAATTCCTTCTTTTTCTTGGCAGCTTTTCGCTTCTTAGCACCTGATGGCATGTTGTTGGTATAAGGCTAAGGCTAGGATTGTTGTAGTAGTAGAGTTGCAAAAGAAATATGGGATCTCTGTTTCTCTCTCAAAATCTCAAAATTGAGGAATCTTTTTTAAGAGCTCTCTTTCTCTTTTTGTCTTGTGGTTGTATTTGGGCAAATGGGGGGATTTTGAAATGGTACTTTACCACTACTGGAGAAGACTGACAGATTGTGGGAGATGGGGATTGGGTCCCCTCTGTTTCTTGGAAATCAAACGAAGCGTCACCTTTGTGCGAGGCTGTATTATATTTCTACTCCGAGACAGATCAGCATTTTAATTTTTTGACACAAATATTCTAGTTTTTCCTTTTTTTCCCCATATTCTGAATCTCTTTTTGTCCCTTTTCCCCCATGTTTACAAAATTATTTTATTTATTTGATTCTTGTCGTATGGAGTATTCTTCTTTTTTCCTTTCTCCAGTTTTTCCAATCTTATTCTTGTGTTGTGATTTTTCTTTTTGTGGTGTGTTACTAGCAATTTCAAGACTATCATTCTTCCGCAAGGACCAAATATATTCCTCTACTTCCGAAAATGGTCTAACAATACCCCTCGTTATACTATTGGGTTATTTATACCCCTTTAGTCATACTTTGGGTTCAAATATATCCTTCATTTAAACGGAGGCACGTGTCATCGTCCTGTTAGTCAATTCTAAATATCTCCTAATTAATTAAAAAGACACATTACCCATACCCAAAAATTAATTATTTTTATTTGTAAAAACTAAAATTATTTTTACTAAAAACTGAAAAAAAACAAAAATATTTTTTTTCCAGTTTTTATAAAAACACTGAAAAATATTTTATAAAATAATATTTTTGTAAAAACTGAGAAAAAAGAAGCAGAAAATTAATTTTCTAAAGTAATTTTTTTTGTAAAAACTGGAAAAAACGGAATTTTTTTTACTAAAAACTGAAAAAAACGAAAAAATATTTTTTTTTTCAGTTTTTACAAAAAAAATGCATTAAAAAAAGCTGAAAAATATTTTCTAAAATAATATTTTTGTAAAAACTGGAAAAAAAACTAAAAAGCAATTTTCTAAAGCAATATTTTTGTAAAAACTAAAAAAACAAATATTTTATTTTTTTTTACAGTTTTTAGTTAAAAATATTTCAGTTTTTTCCATTTTTAGTTGCTTTATAAAATTATTTTTCAGTTTTTACAAAAATATTGTTTTACAAAATATTTTTTAATTTTTTCAAAGTAGTTTTTTTGTAAAAATTGGAAAAAAAAAATATTTTCGTTTTTTTGCAGTTTTTACAAAAAAAAAAAAAAAAAAAAA